ATATATATATATATATATATATATATATATATATATATATATATATGTATATATATATATCAAAATTTATAAAAACTGTGTAAATATAGACACATACACACACTCATATATAATCTAAAAATATTAATAAAAAAATACTTATAGACAATGTATGACAATGTACAATGAGACATAATTAATATTACCTATACAAACTTTAAAATATTACTCCTTGAATATCAAATGGATTTTGTGTGTCACGTAACATTCTTCGCATTATTCGGGAGCATTCCGATTGACCACAATACGATTGGACATAACCAATCGATGAAAAGAATTATCTAGTGAATTACTAGGTCGAACCAATCATTACAATCTATGTCCAATCATACCGTGGTCAATCGAAACCCACTCGCATTATTCTGAGATTATTTCTTTCGTCTTGATCATTTACTTCGTTAACAAAAACCAAGAATGCAGTTGCCATGTCGAACAAAATTTTTGCATAAAAAATTTCAATTTTCACAAATTCACGTTAAATCTTTCATTTTTCACGAGTTTAGTGAAAGTTTTCATCTTTCACGAGTTCATTACAAAATTTTCACTTTTTACGAGTTCACACTAGGGGAAAAGATTCATGATCGCTACCCTGAATAGTTGATATTTGGTTGACATTATCGTAAGCGACGTGCTACCAATTTCAGCAACATGAATGGTAATACATGTAATCAGTTAATGAAATTTTAAGAGCAAACGATTAGCAACAATAGTACGGAAGGTTGGAAACAACATGATGGCAATATGACAAGAACTGATGACTTGTCTTTGCGTCAATAGCATTTTGATGGCAACGTGATAACAACAGAAATGGAACCTTTATCATCGGTTTGCTTTATATTTGCTTCCAATTATTGAGATTTCTAACCCAGCAAACACAGAACATAACTGTGATATGACACAGGAGTAACATGTAATATAACTGCTGTTATACATTATTAATATTAAGATTACTTAATTTCCTTTAACTGCAATATAACTATGTTATAAAACTATTATGTTATTATGTTATTTACTGGTTAAGTTACATCAACAATATAACAGCAACATAAATTTAATATAACATGTTATATAAGAAGTCTAATGTTTGCGTTACATTTCAGTTGTGCAATATTTTTATGGATGTATGGGTACATCAATTGGACACAGTCCAATCACAAGTCGCTGTTCCAAGGGACCCTACAAATGTCTCTAATCACACGGTGCTGTGATTGGCTGTGTCCAAATGCACCGTGTCCAAATGCACCGCTCCCTATTTTTATACACAAATGTGAAATTATATTTTAGGTGTTTCTGGTATATAAAATGTGATAAAATAAAATTTTAATATATGCAAGGATCGTTATCACGATATT